TTTCTCTGTGGGCCAACTCCCTGAATAGCTCAACAGCTGTAGACGGTCTGTAGACCCCAACAACCCCTCCACATTCCCTCCTATCTCCTGGTCTTCCTCTCAACACACCAATTCCTTCATCCCATCAACTCCCCACAAACCCTCTATCCATGTCTCTTATTTTTCCCTGAAGTTGGGATCAGCATTGGCCAATCTTCCTTCTGTGAATGTAATGCAAACGCCCCCTCATCGCTCCACGTCCAGCCAATCTCATCCACTGTCCATTACAGCAGTTCTCAGGGCACCCAAGAGATTCACAATGACGTCTGATGGAGGAGTAAGCTTCCAACTCCAAAATAGCAACAATGGCGGTTATTAGTTAGTGTCAATGGAAACTGACAGTGTTCTGACGTAAACTTTCCTTTCCAGATTTGATCATTGCTCAATGGTTGTGTCATCTTTTTCTGTGGTAACCAACCAGCTGTTGGGGTCTTGGTCGTCCTTCTTCAGGGTCTCTGGGATGTTGAAGACCGTGCCTTTACTCTCAGGAAGGAGAGTAAAGGCAACGGCCTCAAGTCGGGAGACCGACTTGAGGCCAATCTTCTTCTTAATCAGGTGGAACTGGAACAGCACTTACACCGGAATAACCTAGTACCTCTGGTTCATCATGTTATTAGCACATAACAGAGGCTGCATTTCTTTCATGGATTCAGAGCTAGGTGGGTAAATGTACATTAAATGTATCCTCTTGAATTAGAAAAGAATAGGCTAGCACTCCTTTATTGTATAAATAAGAATGAGAGGGAAAGTACAGACAGCAACTGCAATTATTAGGTTTTTATTTTGAAAACCGTCTGAGGAGATTGAAATTAATGGATTCCATTCATTGTAAAACAGTTCTGCCATTTCTTTAAGCTGTTCATATTTTATTTTGGACATTTGACTCATCTTTAGATAGTATGAATAACTTGATAGTTGTAAGAATCCTAAAAGTACAAATTATTTCAACTTTGTAAGAAACCTTTTTTTTTTCCTGAGAATCTTATCTGGAATGCAAATGAATACATAATAATAATAATAAATTAAACTGTCAAAAAGAAAATCCACACAGAAGACAATGACAACGACTACATAGGCCTACACACATAATATGTATATTAGACTGGTATAGGTACTAATACCAGGTAATAGCTTGTTGTTGTGGCCATTTTATTCTCTGGGTGTTGAGTTATTTAAAATGGCCAAAGTGTAACACCATGGCTGCACTATGAAATCCTGTAGACCTGAGAGTCAGGAGAGAGTTTGGAAACAGAGAAAACAATGTTGTAGACATTACTGTAACCAACAATCCGAAGTTGAACAACCTCAAATAATATTAAGTGCAGTGTGTTAAGACTAAACAAATAGTCATTTCATTTGGTGAGTTCAGGTAAAGCTTTGGATTAAAAATGTTTCATCCTTCAGCTCGATCTTTTAAACAATTTTTTTATTTGAGTGTTTTTTGTTGTTGTAGGATGTCAAACATCAATGCTCTGTCTTATGGAGACATCAACATTTGAGGACAAACATACATTTTCACCAATCAACATCATATTTTCTCAATATTTCCCAAGTTATGTCCCAAAATATTCAACCCATCTTCATACATTGTCAGTTTGACAAATGTCAAATCCAATCGTAGACACACATTTGGAATTCTCTGAATTCATAGTTGGGTGCTCTTCTTGCCATTTGACCATCTTAAATAATTTCGACATCTGTTAAGCAAAGTAAACCGACCCGGTATGCCCCGTGCCAGCTCCTCGCACCAAACCAGTGGTGCGTGCCTCCAGTCCGGCACGACCCGTGCCTGCTCCTCGCACCAAACCAGTGGTGCGTGTTCCCAGTCCAGCTCCGGTCAGCTGCTTGTTAGTGTGTAGCCATTGTTTGAGCTTCACGTTAAGTTGCTTTTGTTGTTTTGTCAAGTGTTTATCGTCATTAATAAATATGTACGCATACCACGCTGCTCCTTGGTCTGACCCATCTCTCAACGATCGTGACAATTCAGCAGGCTATGTTGTGAAATAGGATTTCAGATGTGCCGTCTTTATACGTTAATGCCGTCTTTGTGTACTTTGGTGTGCTTATCAATGCACATACCTTTTACCCATTCCTATTGATAATTTTTATTTATTAAGTCATAGAAAAGTATTACATTGCATGAAGTTTAAAATGAATTCTGTCATTAATAAATGTGTAATGTTAAAATATATCACATTACACATTTAGTAATGACAGAATGTATTTTAAACCCATTATGCAGTATCTGACAGGCAGTGTGGATGTGGAGAGAGAGCCTCATTAAGTCATTCTTCCTAGAAACTTGTACAAACTAGGTTTCCTGTCAATTACATCTGTCACGATCGTTACCGGAAGACACGGACCAAGGCGCAGCGTGATAAGCGTACATCTTTAATTTAGTACACAACACGAACCAAAACAACAAACAAACGATACGTGAAGTCCTAGGTTAACACCAAACAAAACCTTACGGAACAAGATCCCACACCGACTAGTGCAAAACAGGCTGCCTAAGTATGGTCCCCAATCAGAGACAACGATCTACAGCTGCCTCTGATTGGGAACCACCCTGGCCAACATAGATCTAAACGATCTAGAACAAAAACATAGAAAAACTAAACATAGCAAATCCACACCCTGGCTCAACAAAGGCGCAGACTGCGACCGCGCCACACAAACACAACAGGGTAGGGGCCGGGTGGGCATTGCGCCTCGGAGGCGGATCCGGCTCCGGGCGTGACCACCACTCTCTCTCCACCCCCCCTTTGCGCCCCTGATCTGGTCTGGCCCCGCTGGCCGGAGCTGGACTGGACACCGGTGGAGCGGATTGCTCTGGCTCCGCACCACTGGCTTGGTGCGGGGAGCAGGAACGGGCCGGACGGGGCTGACGACGCGCACCACTGGCTTGGTGCGAGGGACAGGAACAGGCCGGACCGGGCTGGCGACGCGCACCACTGGCTTGGTGCGAGGGACAGGAACGGGCCGGACCGGGCTGACGACGCTCACCACTGGCTTGGTGCGAGGAACAGGCCGGACCGGGCTGGCGACGCGCACCACTGGCTTGGTGCGGGGAGCAGGAACCGGCCGGGCTGGACTGGGAACACGCACCATTGGCTTGGTGCGGGGAGCCGGAACAGGCCGGGCTGGACTGGGAACACGCACCACTGGCTTGGTGCGGGGAGCCGGAACGGGCCGGGCCGGACTGTGGAGGCGGACTGGAGGTCTGGAGCGGAGAGCTGACACAACCCGTCCTGGCTGAATGACTATTTCCACACAATATGTGTGAGGCATCAGCACAGGACGTACAGGGCTGTGCACTCGTACTGGCGCTACAGCACGTGGCACTGGCGCAGGATATACGGGACCGAGGAGGGGTACTGGAGGCCACGAGCGTTGAGCCGGCACACCCCGTCCTGGCTGCATTCCCACCTTTGCACGACACGTGCGTGGTGCTAGCACAGGACGTACAGGACTGTGCCGGAACACTCGCGGCACAGTACGTGGCTCCGCATAACACGGAGCCTGCCCAGTCTCACGCTTCCTAGCCTGAGTACGAGGAGTTGGCTCTGCTCTACCTCTAGGCTCCGCCAACCACCCTTTTAGCCCCCCCCAAAAAAATTATTGGGGCTGTCTCTCGGGCTTCCTCCTCGGCCGGTACCCTCTGCGTTGCCGCTGCTCCTCTCTGTAGCGCGCCTCCACAGTCTCCTCCCAAGGACGGCAATCCATTCCGGCCTGGATCTCTTCCCAAGTCCAGGATCCCTTCCCGTCCAGGCTGTCTGTTCCTGGACACGCTGCTTGGTCCTCCAAGGCGCAGCGTGATAAGCGTACATCTTTAATTTAGTACACAACACGAACCAAAACAACAAACAAACGATACGTGAAGTCCTAGGTTAACACCAAACAAAATCTTACGGAACAAGATCCCACACCGACTAGTGCAAAACAGGCTGCCTAAGTATGGTCCCCAATCAGAGACAACGATCTACAGCTGCCTCTGATTGGGAACCACCCTGGCCAACATAGATCTAAACGATCTAGAACAAAAACATAGAAAAACTAAACATAGCAAATCCACACCCTGGCTCAACATTTAAGAGTCCCCAGAGCCAGGGCGTGACAACATCGGTATTTTAGGCAGTGGCACTGACACTGTTCCCAAAACAATCTCAAGTCCTTGACCTCCATATTCCCTCCAAATGTGATCACTGTTCTGTGGAAATAATGGGCCCATAAACAAGAAGGCTGTTGCATACGACACACATTAAAACCCATATCCACTATATTTTTCATAAGGACATTGTTTGTGGAGTTTGGAAATAGTGGAATATCTACTCCATATGGACAACGTCTTCAGAGTTCACCTAAGGTGACCTAGAGAGTTGAAGACTTGGGTGACCTGTCAGTCAAGCTGAACTGGAGATGCCGCCATCTGCTAGTCAGTGTGGGAGCTACAATCAAATACATGGAAGAGAGCTGATTTCTCTGTGGGCCAACTCCCTGAATAGCTCAACAGCTGTAGACGGTCTGTAGACCCCAACAACCCCTCCACATTCCCTCCTATCTCCTGGTCTTCCTCTCAACACACCAATTCCTTCATCCCATCAACTCCCCACAAACCCTCTATCCATGTCTCTTATTTTTCCCTGAAGTTGGGATCAGCATTGGCCAATCTTCCTTCTGTGAATGTAATGCAAACGCCCCCTCATCGCTCCACGTCCAGCCAATCTCATCCACTGTCCATTACAGCAGTTCTCAGGGCACCCAAGAGATTCACAATGACGTCTGATGGAGGAGTAAGCTTCCAACTCCAAAATAGCAACAATGGCGGTTATTAGTTAGTGTCAATGGAAACTGACAGTGTTCTGACGTAAACTTTCCTTTCCAGATTTGATCATTGCTCAATGGTTGTGTCATCTTTTTCTGTGGTAACCAACCAGCTGTTGGGGTCTTGGTCGTCCTTCTTCAGGGTCTCTGGGATGTTGAAGACCGTGCCTTTACTCTCAGGAAGGAGAGTAAAGGCAACGGCCTCAAGTCGGGAGACCGACTTGAGGCCAATCTTCTTCTTAATCAGGTGGAACTGGAACAGCACTTACACCGGAATAACCTAGTACCTCTGGTTCATCATGTTATTAGCACATAACAGAGGCTGCATTTCTTTCATGGATTCAGAGCTAGGTGGGTAAATGTACATTAAATGTATCCTCTTGAATTAGAAAAGAATAGGCTAGCACTCCTTTATTGTATAAATAAGAATGAGAGGGAAAGTACAGACAGCAACTGCAATTATTAGGTTTTTATTTTGAAAACCGTCTGAGGAGATTGAAATTAATGGATTCCATTCATTGTAAAACAGTTCTGCCATTTCTTTAAGCTGTTCATATTTTATTTTGGACATTTGACTCATCTTTAGATAGTATGAATAACTTGATAGTTGTAAGAATCCTAAAAGTACAAATTATTTCAACTTTGTAAGAAACCTTTTTTTTTTCCTGAGAATCTTATCTGGAATGCAAATGAATACATAATAATAATAATAAATTAAACTGTCAAAAAGAAAATCCACACAGAAGACAATGACAACGACTACATAGGCCTACACACATAATATGTATATTAGACTGGTATAGGTACTAATACCAGGTAATAGCTTGTTGTTGTGGCCATTTTATTCTCTGGGTGTTGAGTTATTTAAAATGGCCAAAGTGTAACACCATGGCTGCACTATGAAATCCTGTAGACCTGAGAGTCAGGAGAGAGTTTGGAAACAGAGAAAACAATGTTGTAGACATTACTGTAACCAACAATCCGAAGTTGAACAACCTCAAATAATATTAAGTGCAGTGTGTTAAGACTAAACAAATAGTCATTTCATTTGGTGAGTTCAGGTAAAGCTTTGGATTAAAAATGTTTCATCCTTCAGCTCGATCTTTTAAACAATTTTTTTATTTGAGTGTTTTTTGTTGTTGTAGGATGTCAAACATCAATGCTCTGTCTTATGGAGACATCAACATTTGAGGACAAACATACATTTTCACCAATCAACATCATATTTTCTCAATATTTCCCAAGTTATGTCCCAAAATATTCAACCCATCTTCATACATTGTCAGTTTGACAAATGTCAAATCCAATCGTAGACACACATTTGGAATTCTCTGAATTCATAGTTGGGTGCTCTTCTTGCCATTTGACCATCTTAAATAATTTCGACATCTGTTAAGCAAAGTAAACCGATTGTGTTATGCATAGACACTGTCACATTTGAGCTAAACCACGTCACCCCCCCCACTGTGAGCAGTGGATCCTCCTAAACAGGGTTTTTATAGGAAGTCTGACCCCACCATAGTCTGACCCCACTTGGTTAGGTTTGGCACTTAGAGAAGTCTATGACTATGAAACAGCATTAAACAGTTTGGCACTTTTAATCACACTTTAAAAACAGGGCCCTTAAAACAGGCAGAGTGTGGGGGAGAGAGAGAAAATAAGGGGAAAAGACGGGGAGAGGAAAATAGTCTGGGAGGGACAGGAAAAGACGGAGTGGTCAAGCACTAACAATAGACCTGTTACACACAACTCCTCCAATTTCATCATCCTCTCTTCCACCCCTCTTCACCCTCTCACACCTCACCCCAATCCTTCACCCCATCCCCCCCATCATCCCAGCACCTTTGTTGGTGTCTTTGAATTTCTCCTGATCCAAAGATGCAGCCCTTCCCTCAACATTGAAAACATTTCCTAATGAGTTCATAGGTCCAAATCTCTCGTCTTATCTCACCCGGAGATACCCCCAACAGGATGGCCTCAAACCAACAAAACAAAACAAAAAATAAAACCTTAAAGCAACCAAAGTTAGCTTTTTAAAGATACAAATATTTTCCATTATTCTAGTCAATCTTTAAATATGGCAGTTCGTCCATCCATCCATCCATCCGCCCACTCCCAAGGTCCTCAGCCGTGAGCAGAGAGTCCGAGCCAAACGGAAAATGGAGCCCGTAAAAACACGGGCATCAGGATCCACACACCCCCAACCAATCGTCCTCCTGGGAATGCTGACAGACAGGGCGTATTCCCTGCCCCCTTCTCACGCCACCTCCAGCCAACCAGCCGCTGGTAAAGTCTTCAGTCGCCACGGGAACGGTCAGGGCTGGACGAACCAGCTGTTGGCGTCCTCAAGGTCGGTCTCCAGCTCCTCGTCTTCGTCCAGGGGCTCTGGAGTTTGGAGGGCCAGCTCTCTTAGGAGGGAGGCCTGGTGGGCAGTGGGTCGGGAGACCGACTTTAGGCCAATCTTCTTCTTCATCAGGTGGAACTGGTCTCGGATGAAGTTGTAGAAGTCGTACTCGTAGCGCATGTGGTGGTATAGCACCTGAAGGGCTTCCAGAGTGGGTGTGTGTTTACGCACCGTGCCAGTCATGTTCCCCATCTTCCTGTAGTCTGCAGGAAGGGGCGGAAACAAAGAAACAGAACAGGAAGTATGGTTAAAATGTGAAGAGAAGACATATTGTCAGCCATCAAGGTGAAGAGTTACTGTAGACCATTTTTGAGGTATGAAAATAAACTTCTGACAAACTTTGATTTTGGTGTTAAATATTCCTTTAAATTTGAATGATTTAAACCCAGTGTAACAAGGTTTTTACAGGCCAGGGTGTGCTTGTGTATGTCTGTACCTGGGCTCTTGTAGATGTTGAGTACGTCAGTAAAGTAATGAGGTAACAGTCTCTCTAGAAGGAGCAGCACATCTTCCAGCTCCTCTAGGATCCCCACGATAAGAAAGTTTTCTAGAACGTTCTGTTTGGCCCTCTCCAGAGCCCATACTCCCGGCTCTCTGAAACGCACAGAACAGACACAGTCAGAGGAAAATATCTGGCAACCCAGAGGAAATGATAACCAATGATAATTCTAATACCACTAATACTTTCCTGAACACTACCAGTCGCAAAAATATGAATACCAGCCAGGACAATGTGTAACTATTACAACATTTCTTTACTCCAAATTTGGAGCCTGATTCGCTGGTGCAATACAGATCTTCTTACCGGCACTGTGGGTGCTGTCCACAGAAATACGGGATGATGTAGAAGAGTCTGGGGTTGGAGCATTCTGGGTAATTCTCCAGGATGCAGACGTTGATGTCCTGGACAGGAGGGAGACAGAAGAGACAGCCAATCAGAAACACAGTCAGAAAGACAGACAATCATCTTCAGGTTGACACCTACTTTTCTGCAAGAATAATGGGAAATGAAAACATTACTGTAATTCTACATTACTCTCACTAGGGGGAACCCTTCACCAAGTCTTCCTCTCTCTTAGGACCTCGTAATGCTTTTCTCATGGTTATCGTTGGTAAAGACACTCTAGCTCCATACCACTTTCTGACAGCCTAAATAAGACATGCAGCTTCATATCCACAATTCAGATATTAGGTAATCTGGGAGTGCAAGAGCAAAATGTAGTCAGAGGTTGATGCTATTATTCTCTGTCCAGAATGATGACAGTTAACTGACCAGTAATGCAAACAAAACAAACAGAAAACGAGGGCAACCTTTGGTCTCCTCAGCTATCCACATTATGTTGGCCATGCTACCAGCATCCCAACATCTTCTCTTCCTCCTGTCAAAATAACCCACCGCCTCAGTGAAAAAATAAATAAACGTCCTAGGCCAGTGGGCTGAACGAGGGAGGCCCACTGAGACCAAATTAAAAAAAAAAAGAAAGAGGAGAGATAGTGAGGTGAAAAAAGAAAAGAAAGAGAGAAGAGAGATATAGAAGAGCAGAAGAGAAGAGAGAGAGAGAGAGAGAGAGAGGGAGAGATGGAGAGAGAGAGAGAGAGAGAGAGAGAGAGAGAGAGAGAGAGAGGGATAGCGAGAGAGAGAGAGCGAGCGATAGATATAGAGAGAGATAGAGCATGATCAGGACTCGATAGAGACTACTATAGATATAGAGATCAATATATCTCTCTCTCCTTCCTCTCTTCTCTCTCTCGCTCTCTCTCTCTCTCTCTCTCTCTCTCTCTCTCTCTCTCTCTCTCTCTCTCTCTCTCTCTATTACTCCACCCAAAAAACATAATTCATTTCCTCTTAAACCCACAAAGCCTGCGGTCAAAACAATATGAGAGAAAAGGACACCCGTCTCTTCCTGTCTTTGTCGATGATAGTTTTAGAGTATATAATTCCTTCAGTAGCCCACCAGGGGGCAATATACCTCTGACTGACTGTCTGACTGACTGACACAGACCTGTTAACACAGGAAGCAATATTCTCAGTCATTTAAATTAATAAAGATATCAGTTCAAGCTAAACTTTGATTTTAAATAAATCCACACATAATGCTGTGTGCTTTTTTTATCTCCTCTGAACGGTCTCTCAGATCTGCTGCTCTGCATTTGGACTGGGTAGGTACATTCACTGACAATCGCGAGCAGAACAACAAGAAGAGGCTTCAAATGAACCACAAGAACTGAAGAGAACCCAGAACACACAAGCATTGTGTTACTGTCAATAGAGACCCTATAAGAATGACTGTGTCCCAATTCTTAAAGCCCTTCTGGGCCTCATCTCCTTCCCTCCGTGATCACAGACCGTGGACAAGAAGACAAGAGATGCCTTGGCATGAACGATGCTGGGTGTCCGCCAGGGCATCCTCTGTGAAGTTTGTGTGTGTGTGTGTGTGTGTGTTGGGGGGGGAGTGAACCGTGAGGGTAGATCAGGTAGACGGACCTGGTTAGAAGCCAACTCCCCTCTCAGTCTAGCACACTGGTCAGTCACTCTTTCAGCTAGAGTATACATGATTCATAGCCAAATAACTCACTACAAAAGCATGTGCTTGTGTGTGCGTGTTCACATGACTGTATATATGAGAGAGAGAATGTGTGTGTGTTCACATGACCGTGTGTATACGTATGTGTGTGTGTGCGTGAGTGCATGTGTGTTTGTCTGTAAAGAGAGAGTGGGGCCGATGGAAAAAGGTAAGAAGTCTACCACAGGAATGTTTCAATAATAAATTAGCAGAGACAAGGCCTGGTTGAGGAAACTGACAGTGTTCTTTCATTGACACCTCCTGTACACACAGAGCAGGGCTCTGAGCAGGGCTCTGCTGGACTAATGCACACCAGGCCTGCTGTTTTGCTGCTGCACTACAGGGGGAAGAGAGAGGAAAAGACCCTGCTGAATTATATGGTGCAGATTGAATTGGCTAAGGGTGTTGACACAGTAGCAACTCACCACACACACAGTGGGACGTATGGGCCAGGCTAGGGTGCTAACAGGATTAACACGCACGCACGCACACACACACACACACACACACTCAAGTGAGCCTGCCAGGGTAGCACAGCGGCAGCCCCCCTTTACTGTAGTAGGGGGCCCTTTTCGCTGCATACTTTAATAACTCAACTCAAATGCTCCGGTACTCCTGGGACGCTGAGCAGAACTTAATTACTCACAGTCAGACTCAGACTCACTCTAGCCACGATGATATTCATTTCACTGTGTGTGTTTGCTAATGTTGCTGGCTCAATGTGTTTTATGGTTGTTGTGAGGGCCTTTGACAACGCACTGGTGTGTGTGTGTGCGTGCGTACGTGTGTGTCTACCCACAAGCATGGGTGATTGGAGGAGCAGTAAGAGGAATTCCTATTGCATGTTAGCTGACTGACTCCATCTCTACACAGATTATACCAATCCAGCCCAGCACTAACGACACTGCATGCCTTACCTTTTGAACCTTACTTAAAATGGGACCTCACATAGAAACGACAGTTTGAGGATGAAACGAAAGCAGTAAATGTCATTAGAAAAGCATGAGACAAATATCACCACTGAGTATTGAGTTGCCTACTGCAGAAGAAAACAACACAGACAGACAGACATAGAGACAGAGAGACAGACAGAGTTCAGGTCTCTAACTAACTGTCAGATGTGGTCTAACTCAGTCAAGTCTGTAATTGAGTTCTGGGCAGTTCTGTGTTGAGAGCAAGGGAGCGATGGAGGAATGCCCCACAAGGGGCAAAATATTTGTTACCCTTCCTTCCCATGCCACATCACGTACTGTTTATCTTCAAGTACTATACCTATGGTTTTTATTGTAGAACTGCTACAAGGAACTCTTGCAGGGCTTCCTAAATCCAATACCACAAGGCTGTAACTAATACAGTACATTATGCTTTACCTCACTTGATTAGTTCTCCATTTTGCCACTATGGTGAGAAGAAAAACAGTGGGTAATTGTTGCTTGTTTTTGCTGTTCTCCAAATAGCATTTTAGATCTTTTAAATGGTGTACAAATGCAGTAGACCTAAATCAGCTTTCAAAAAATTCCTTGGAGGGGAAAATAAATATTTGGAGGGGGAGTTACCACTGAACTTGATGTATCTAACATTAATATTTCCCCTATGTTCATTTTCAAATATATTTATTTGAATAAATTAGGGGATATACAAATTAACAGTTGAAACAGTTCTTCAATACAATGCACTGTATTTTAAGCAAAATTTCAACGCTATTTGTGACACAATTTGCTGATTTCCCATGGCCACCCATGACTGGTTCTTGATCCCCCCTTTGCCACCCAACTAAAAAAATCCTAGAATTGCCCCTGCCTGGCTGACGATGAAACAGGTGGAGACATGGAAGGACTGTGTACAAGCTAATAACTCAGTCATACAGTACAGTTACTGTTGAAGTCAGAATGACACTCGACTTCATTAATATTCTGGACCATTAGCCTTCATACCATTACACTGATGCTGCTTATGGAAAGAAGACCAGGAGAGCAAAGGCCTAGGCTGTTGGCCCCGACATGAAAGATGGAAAAAGAGAGGGAGAGAGGTTGATAGAGTTCTATCAATAAAGAAGGAGTCTCACCAGGTATCTCTCATCATCCTTCATCCCTGGCGTTCGGATGAGGTGGTTCTGCTCACCCCTCCAGTCCCCGAAACGTCGGAAGAAGTAGTTGGAGAGGAAACGGCTAATGGGGTCCCGTATGATGTTGATGTAGACGGGCTGCTCTATCCTGAACCTGACAGACAGAGGGGCAGATGGATGGACACACATTTATACAGTATACACATAGTATAAGGTTTTCCACAGTGGGGCAGTATTTGGGCCTAGTTGATAAGGAGATGGGCATACAATTAAATTTCCTCTCTTGATATCCATTAGTCAAGGCTTTTGTGAAAATGTAAACTATAGGAGCAGTTTCAATTCAACTTTGTCCAGGCATAGCAAGAATAGTAAACTCCACTGTTTTAGCTGATTCTGTGTGCCATTGAGATCTTGGCATCACTGTGTCAGTTGTCATACGTAGTGTGCTCTGCTGTAGTTACCTGGTGAAGTTGAGGAAGTGGACATGTCTGGTGTACAGGAAGGGCTGAGGGATGTTGCTGATGTTCCTCATAAGGTCCACCTGAACACACACACACACATCAAGAGAAATTACTGTCCAAGTCTATACTTGTATCAAAAACAGTATATCTCTCCAGGATGGAACCAGAACCAAACACAGAGTACATTTAGACCCATATTTACTAAACCCTTGTGTGCTTTAATAGGCGATGATGGAATATCTGTAATTTATTACACATGTTGGATTCAGCAGAGAAATCAATTAGGAGGTTCCATCTCACTGTGCTAGAGCCTAACATCAACATAATTGTGTTGGAGACCCCATGTCGACTGTGCCAGAACCTCACGTCATACAGGCTGGAACGAGATCCCTGATCCCCTCATCTCCCACTATTGAGAGCAGCTAAATTACATCACATGTTATGTTAGCCCTCAGTGGGGCTTCCTGTTGATAAAGCCCATCTGTATCTAGTGTGCTGGTGATGGCCAGGACTTTCTGAAAACACACAGAGAAAAAGAAAACATCTAACCAAAACACTGTCTTCAGGTTTCATTCTGTGAAACGGCTAGCAGAGATTGGAACGATGAAATGTTTGCATTATGTACTGTAAAATATCATCATTCACAGTTCTGTGTTTCACATTATCCCAGCCTAGGTGAGTGTTCTCCACCCCTGTGGTTCCCCAGGCCTGCATGGAGAGACAGGTCCAGACCTGTAGCCCCAGGTGAGCTCCATGGTGGTGGTCACACCTGGCCCTGATCCCTGGGGCTTGGAGATGGGACAGGAGGGAAAGGGAAATGATGGAGGGGTGGCCAACGACCTAACTACTGGGGTCTGACCCTGTCATAACCTTGGCTGAGCTCAACAACATTACTTAAATGGACAAATAGACCGAAGGAAAAAGGTGGAGGCCTTGATACCTAGTGTGACTTGTTATCTAGTCGCTTGTTATCTAGACTTGTTATGTAGTGTGATAGCATTAGAAATCTTTTGTTGACATCTTTTGTCACTGTGTTTTGGAATGGAACAAGTGTTTATGATTAGCAGCTTTAAATGGCGGGCTGAACTCACCATTTCTGTATGTGTTTTTCTCAATTCATTGGGGCATGGACTCTAAAAAGGGTTGAAAGCGTTCCACAGGGATGCTGGCCCATGTTGACGCCAATGCTTCCCACAGTTGTGTCAAGTTGGCTGGATGTCCTTTGGGTGGTGGACCATTCTTGATATACATGGGAAACTGTTGAGCGTGAAAAACCCAGAAGCGTTGCAGTTCTTTACACAAACTGGTGCGGCTGGTACCTTCTACCATACCCTGTTCAAAGGCACTTGCCCATTCCACTTCTGAATGGCACACATACACAATCCATGTCTCAATTGTCTCAAGGCTTAAAAATCCTTCTTTAACCTGGATCTTGGGGGTGTGGTTCAATGTGCGTGTGCTGTTGTTTGTCCCTCTTTCACTCTCAAAGTAGTCAGAATGAATAGAATTAAGATAAATCAAGAAATATCTAATTAATGTTGATATTTTGCTGAGGAGGTCTTAGCCCAGCTTACACATTTGGTTCCTTGGAAGTTGTGGGAACGTATGTTTTTTGTTTCCCATTGGTTCTGGGAACAATTTTTAAACGTTCTGGGAACAATTTTTAAACGTTCTGAGAATGGAAGTGAAAATGTCACCTGTTCTGGGAACTTACATTTTTAGGTTGCAGGTAGGTTCTAAGAATGTTTTACTATGGTTCCCTGAAAGTTTTCCTGGGAGGTTTTATTAACGTTCTCTATCCATGGAATGATTCCACTGCGCCACCAGGATGGAGCTAGCATGCCATGTTGTTTTTTTTCTATCCAAACAGACCCCATTTCAAAGGAAACAAGCACTCATTTAGATCAGGTGTGGCCAGTTAGTGGGTGTGGCCAACACACCTAACAGGATAGAGGATAACGTTTTGTTGATGCTGATAACGGAATATATGTTTTTAAATAACATTATTACAACATTCTCTGAACATTACTAAAGTTTTCTTGTGGTTTTTATGGAAAGTTTTCTTAACGTTCTTGGAACAATTTGAGAACATTACTTTAAATAGAACCATGAGGAAACCTGCAGGAAATGCTGAAGTACTGAAATTCCCACAGAAGCACGTTGTTTCTTAACATTCTCGGAACAATTTGACTCACACATCTGAGCTATCTTTTTTTGCAGGTGCATGGTAACAGTTGAATAAGATGAGAAAAAAAGAAGAAACCCGGACACTGCTCTTGATAGTATCACTGCTCTTGATAGTATCACTGCTCTTGATAGTATCACTGCGCTTTCTTCTTTTTTTCTCATCTAGCTAAGGTGTTTGGTGTCGTATTTCTCAAGTAAAAACATTTGCATGAAAGCTAGTAGTGCACTGCAGACTATTGAGTGAGCTGCTGCTGCGCTCGGGACTGATTTCTGAGAATATGTCTACAACTTCAGCAAGCTGTCAAACTATTGTACATAAAGCACAAGCTACACACTGTAGTACAGGTAAACAAGCCCGAGGCAGGTCTGTCTCACTGACTGTAGGTTCTGCTACTACGATTGGATAGAGCGCAATCTGCACAGCTGTGTCTCCGTGCATGACAATTCTCCCTAGGCATTACCATCCCGTGCTAGTGGGCAAGTGGGCATGATCGAAATCAAAACCCAACTCTCAAATATCCAACGGATCTAGGAACGTAACAATGTCACAAATCTACGTTTGGGAAGATACTGACTTTATGACCAAAATTATGCTATTTACACGTTGTAGTCAATTTTTACACAAGAATCAATGTTTCTGACTAATATTGATGCAACATAGGCTGTTGTCAACCAGATATGTGTTTTTTGGTTCAGCTGCAAATCAACACTCCAATGGCTCTATTTTCGGCTGGCGGTAAGAAGGCCCAAGTGTCAAACACACGTTAGTTAGCAATTTCGTCATTTAAAAACTGGTGCACTAGCATTTTCCAGCCCTTACGACAGGTTCAGCAATTTGCCTGTCTAACATCCGCTCACTTGCGCTGAGATGGGAGGGTGTGTCCTTAAAAACGTGCACAAATATGCCAATTTCAGTGAGCGTAACTAGGGATATAAGATCGACCAAAAGCTGGTCTTAGTGGTATCGCAATTGTTTATGGCATTGATTTTGCCAGTGAAGGCACACACAGTACCCTTATGTACATTACCAATGTTTTATTAAAATATTAAGAGCAGCAAAACAGTCAGACATTCCCCTTTTTTATTTATATTGGAAAGTATTGGAAAAGTCTGCTACTCCAAGCCAGAGCCGGACCTTCTCAATGTTTGGGTATCTGTTGTAGCTAGTATACAGGTACATGAGATCCATGGCAGAGCTGTGTCTGTTTGCATCTTTGGTGAGAGAGAGAACCCAGCATCACATAGCAACACAGTGAAACTCAGAAAAAGGCTGTGTTGCTATTTCTGACCAAGCTGAAAAAAACCCATCACTCCCTCAGGTCCTGTACCTCTGCTATAGAGAGACACACACAGATCACTATGCAATGTGGGTAAGTAGGGCTCCAGAGGCTAGGGGACCTTGGCTACTTGGCTACCCAGGCTGAGAGTGTCGGTTCTGGGCAAATGCATTAGCAGGCCACTGGCTTAGCCAAAGGATAATGGTCTAACACTCCAGTCCCCAGACAGACTGGAGCTAAGGATACCAGCGTCTCTAAACTTAGAGAGCATGCAATCGGGATCTGCATAAGTCAACAAGCACGCAAACACACACACACACAGCTGCTCTGAGAGGACGTGTTAGTGGACCGTTAACAGAAGTGTTTTAGGTCTCTCTTTTCCAGAGGCTTAATGATTCTATTGGTGTTCTGACACCGTGTAAAGCCACGCATTCAGTCTTGACGAATGAGTAAACAACTAACAGTTTAAATATTAGCTTTAATTTAATATGTACTTCAAATCTAATGGGTCAGTAATGTCTATGAATATTTAGCATTTACTGACCATTCAAACATTCAAAAGTGGTTGAAATAACTTGAGAAACAGATTTCTCCAGTACAGTTAAACACTGATGGAAAAGTCCTATGAGGATATGAAACATGACCATATAGAGAATAGCACAGAAATTCATCATCATTCTCTTCCTCTTTCAGGATTCTGAGAAAGTCTGTCAATGCAGCATGTTTTTTTTTTTATATCAATATCAAATAATTTACTGAAAACTGTTATTACTAGCTGTTATTGGCAGAGAGGTTTGGAACTCTTTGTTATTGGTCTTTTAACCAAATTACTGCCTGGTGCTAACACCAGGCAAGCCAAAACTCCTGCCAAAGCAAACCAGCTGATTTGAAAGTTGTATTTTCAACCAGCAAGTATCAGTAAATAACACAGATTAAAAAAACACACACTTTTACAGTGTTAGTTTCATCAGTTGTTGTACAGTATGATACAAAACACAGGAAAAACATATTTGTATTGCTCTGGCACTGATGGAGGACGCCCAAGAGGGGTCCTACCACAAGACAGGTGTGCCTAGTCAGCTTTCTAATTTCCCCAAAATACCACTAGAATAAAGGAAGATGAACAGAAAGGGAGAGAGATGTTGGGAGAATCTCAATTGCATACTCCTCGCGTCCTCCCCTCCCCTACTTCTCAAAACCCATGAGAAAGCCAGGGGTCCCTCCCCTCTGAGAGAATGACAGTTTTTTTAAATCCTTCAGAATTACTGCCATTCAGTAATGTTTTCATTGACGTTGGCATTTGTGTTGGCATTTCCAGTGGCACAGCCTGGCATTTCAACATGTCTCTGAGGGAAGCGGCTTTAAACACATGCAGCACTTCCTCCATAAATGCTGTGTTGATGTCCTTAAGATGCTCTCGGAAATCATGAAAAGACATACCCATCCCTTTAGCCTGTTATTAGAAAAACTGATGGACAATACAATAGCCTGCTGTACTACAGCTTAAAGTGGAAGCATTAGAACATCACTCAATAAAGGCACAAAGGTATTGTGGCTCCTTCCAGTCATCATACAACAAGGCAACCCTCCCCACTCCTCTATCATTGTTCAATAAATGTTCAAGAGAAATAAAGGGAACTGTAAAGCGCATATTCTATATTTGCAGGTTAGGGTTGGGTGCGGGCCTCAGATATTCACTTTATCACATATAGTTGGGCGGTTGCGGATCGGTTATTAGGAATTGCGGGTGGTTGCGGGTGAACAAAGAGCTGACCCGCGCATCACTAACGTACACCCCCTCCACCACCACCCATCTCCCTCCATATCTCTCTCCCCACCCCTGTCTTACCTGTTCATGTTTGGTGAGGCGTGTCTTGTTGTGGATGTCTGAGGAGATAAGGTTGAACTGATGTCTCTCTGCCAGTAACCTCAGTAGGATGACCACTGTCCTGCTGCCACACTTCCCCACACGGTTATACACCACCTGACTGGGGAACGGCAGCACCTGCAAGGGGGAACACAAGAGAACACACACTGCTGAGTGAGGACACGCAACAACTATCTAATCAAAGAACAATTAGTTCATCAAACCCACTGATTATTGCCTTAGGAAGGTAAAATAAGGTAAAGATAAGGCTAAGAATAATGTTAGGTACAGCTTAAACATGACACCAGGTAAGTGAAGAAAATGAAAATACACTGCCAAAGGGGTTGGACCCCTAATTTCTCTCAACTGTCACTCTGTTCTTCCTCTCTGACTTCCCAGGGGCTGTTCTCACTAGACCCCCGATGCCCCGCAATCCTGCAGATACACTATATATACAAAGGTATGTGGACACCCCTTCAAATGAGTGGATTCGGTTATTTCAGCCACACCCATTGCTGACAGGTGTATAAAATCGAGCATACATCCATGCAATCTCCATAGACAAACATTGGCAGTAGAATGGCCTAACTGAAGAGCTGTGACTTTCAACGTGGCACCGTCATAGGAGGCAACCTTTCCAACAAGTCAGTTCATCACATTTCTGCCCTGCTAGAGCTGCCCTGGTCATCTGTAAGGGCTGTTATTGTGAAGTGGAAATGTCTAGGAGCAACAACGGCACAGCCACAAAGTGGTAGGCCACACAAGCTCACAGAACTGGACCACCGAGTGCTGAAGCGCATAGTGCGTAAAAATCGTCTGTCCTCGGTTGCAACACCCACTACCGAGTTCCAAACTGCCTCTGGAAGCAACCTCAGCACAATAACTGTTCGCCGGGAGCTTCATGAAATGGTTTTCCATGGCCGAGCAGCAGCTCAGAAATTGCAGCCCAAATAAATGCTTCACAGAGTTCAAGTAACAGACACATCTCAACATCAACTGTTCAGAGGAGACTGCGTGAATCAGGCCTTCATGGTCGAATTGCTGCAAGGAAACCACTACTAAAGGACACCAATAAGAAGAAGAGACTTGCTTGGGTCAAGAAACACGAGTAATGGACATTAGACCGGTGGGAATTTGTCCTTTGGTCTGGAGTCCAAATTTGAGATTTTTGGTTCCAACTGCTGTGTCTTTGTGAGACACGGTGTGGGTGAACGGATGATCTCTGCATATGTATTTCCCACCGTAAAGCAAGGAGGAGGAGGTGTAATGGTGTGGGGGTGCTTTGATGTTGACACAGACTGTAATTTATTTAAAATTCAAGGCACACTTAACCAGTATGGCTACCACAGCATTCTGCAGTGATATGCCATCCCATCTGGTTTGGAATTAGTGGGACTATCATTTATTTTTCAACAGGACAATGACCCAACACACCTCCAGGCTGTGTAATGGCTATTTTACCAAGAAGGAGAGTGATGGAGTGCTGCATCAGATGACCTGGCCTCCATAATCCCCCGACCTCAACCCAATTGAGATGGTTTGGGATGCGTTGGACCGCAGAGTGAAGGAAAAGCAGCAAACAAGTGCTCAGCATATGTGGGAACTCCTTCAAGACTGTTGGAAAAGCATTCCAGGAGAAGCTGGTTGAGAGAATGCCAAGAGTGTGCAAAGCTATGAGCACCTGTTTGAACTCGTTACCTGTATAAAAGACACCTGTCCACACACTCAATCAAACAGACTCCAACCTCTCCACAATGGCCAAGACCAGAGAGCTGTGTAAGGACATCAGGGATAAAATTGTAGACCTGCACAAGGCTGGGATGGGCTACAGGACAATAGGCAAGCAGCTTGGTGAGAAGGCAACAACTGTTGGCGCAATTATTAGAAAATGGAAGAAGTTCAAGATGACGGTCAATCACCCTCGGTCTGGGGCTCCATGCAAGATCTCACCTCGTGGGGCATCAATGATCATGAGGAAGGTGAGGGATCAGCCCAGAACTACACAGCAGGACCTGGTCAATGACCTGAAGAGAGCTGGGACCACACTCTCAAAGAAAACCATTAGTAACACACTACGCCGTCATGGATTAAAATCCTGCAGCGCACGCAAGGTCCCACTGCTCAAGACAGCACATGTCCAGGCCCGTCTGAAGTTTGCCAATTACCATCTGGATGATCCAGAGGAGGAATGGGAGAAGGTCATGTGGTCTGATGAGACAAAAATATAGCTTTTTGGTCTAAACTCCACTCGCCGTGTTTGGAGGAAGAAGAAGGATGAGTACAACCCCAAGAACACCATCCCAACCGTGAAGCATGGAGGTGGAAACATCATTCTTTGGGGATGCTTTTCTGCAAAGGGGACAGGACGACTGCACCGTATTGAGGGGAGGATGGATGGGGCCATGTATCGCGAGATCTTGGCCAACAACCTCCTTCCCTCAGTAAGAGCATTGAAGATGGGTCGTGGCTGGGTCTTCCAGCATGACAACGACCCGAAACACAAAGCCAGGGCAACTAAGGAGTGGCTCCGTAAGAAGCATCTCAAGGTCCTGGAGTGGCCTAGCCAGTCTCCAGACCTGAACCCAATAGAAAATCTTTGGAGGGAGCTGAAAGTCCTTATTGCCCAGCGACAGCCCCGAAACCTGAAGGATCTGGAGAAGGTCTGAATGGAGGAGTGGGCCAAAATCCCTGCTGCAGTGTGTGCAAACCTGGTCAAGACCTACAGGAAATGTATGAGCTCTGTAATTGCAAACAAAGGTTTCTGTACCAAATATTAAGTTCTGCTTTTCTGATGTATCAAATACTTATGTCATGCAATAAAATGCAAATTAATTACTTAAAAATCATACAATGTGATTTTCTGGATTTTTGTTTTAGATTCCGTCTCTCACCGTTGAAGTGTACCTATGATAAAAATTACAGACCTCTACATGCTTTGTAAGTAGGAAAACCTGCAAAATCGGCAGTGTATCAAATTCTCCCCACTGTATATATAGATGTATATGTATGGGTGTATGTGTGTTTATATATATATATATATATATATATATATATATATATATATATATATATATATATATTTGTGTGTATGTATATATATATATATATATATATATATATATATATATATTGTGTGTATGTATATATATATATATATATATATATATATATATATATATATATATATATATACACATACACACACACAGTTTTCCAACAATTGTTTACAGACAGATTATTTCACTTATAATTCACTGTATCACAATTCCAGTGGGTCATAATTTTACATACACTAAGTTGACTGTGCCTTTAAACAGCTTGGAAAATTCCAGAAAATGATGTCATGGCTTTAAAAGCTTCTGATAGGCTAATTGACATCATTTGAGTCATTTGGAGGTGTACCTGTGGATGTATCCATTCACAAAAAATGTATGCACGCATGACTGTAAGTCGCTTTGGATAAAAGCGTCTGCTAAATGGCATATTATTATTATTATTATTATTATTATGTATTTCAAGGCCTACCTTCAAACTCAGTGCCTCTTTGCTTGACATCATGGGAAAATCAAAAGAAATCAGCCATGACCTCAGAAAGAAAATTGTAGACCTCTACAAGTCTGGTTCATCCTTGGTAGCAGTATTCAAACACCTGAAGGTACCACGTTCATCTGTACAAACAATAGTACGCAAGTATAAACACCATGCGACCGTGCATCCGTCATACCGCTCAGGAAGGAGACGCATTCGGTCTCCTAGAGATGTACGTACTTTGGTGAGAAAAGTGCGAATCAATCCCAGAACAACCGCAAAGGACCTTGTGAAGATGCTGGAGGAAACAGGTACAAAAGTATCTATATCCACAGTAAAACAAGTCCTATATCGACATAACCTGAAAGGCTGCTCAGCAAGGAAGAAGCCACTGCTCCAAAACCGCCATAAAAAAGCCAGACTATGTTTTGCAACTGCACATGGGGACAAAGATCATACTTTTTTGAGAAATGTCCTCTGGTCTGATGAAACAAAAATATAACTTTTTGGCCATAATGACCATCGTTATGTTTGGAGGAAAAGGGGGGTTGCTTGCAAGCCGAAGAACACCATCACAACCGTGAAGCATGGGGGTGGCAGCATCATGCTTTGGGATGCTTTGCTGCAGGAGGGAATGATGCACTTCACAAAATAGATGGCATCATGAGGAAGGAAAATTATGTGGGAACATCTCAAGACATCAATCAGGAAGGTAAAGCTTGGTCGCAAATGCGTCTTCCAAATGGACAATGACCCCAAGCATACTTCCAAAGTTGTGGCAAAATGGCTTAAGCACAACAAAGTCAAGGTATTGGAGTGGCCATCACAAAGCCCTGACCTCAATCCTATAGAAAATGTTTGGGCAGAACTGAAAAGGTGTGTGCGAGCAAGGAGGCCTACAAACCTGACTCAGTTACACCAGCTCTGTCAGGAGGAATGGGCCAAAATTCACCCAACATATTGTGGGAAGCTTGTGGAAGGCTACCCGAAATGTTAAACAATTTAAAGGCAATGCTACCAAATACTAATTGAGTGTATGTAAACTTCTGACCCACTGGGAATGATGAAATAAATAAAAGCTTAAATAAATCATTCTCTCTATTATTATTCTGACATTTCACATTCTTAAAATAAAGTGGTGATCCTAGCTGACCTAAAACAGGGAATTTTTACTAGGTTTAAATATCAGGAATTGTGAAAAACTGAGTGTAAATGTATTTGGCTAAGGTGTATGTAAACTTCCGACTTCAACTGTATACAGTGAGGGAAAAAAGTATTCGATCCCCTGCTGATGTTGTACATTTGCCCACTGACAAAGAAATGATCAGTATATAATTTAAATGGTAGGTTTATTTGAAATCCAGAAAAACGCATGTCAAAAATGTTATAAATTGATTTGCATTTTAATGAGGGAAATAAGTATTTGACCCCTCTGAAAAACATGACTTAGTACTTGGTGGCAAAACTCTTGTTGGCAATCACAGAGGTCAGACGTTTTTTGTAGTTGGCCACCAGGTTTGCACACATCTCAGGAGGGATTTTGTCCCACTCCTCTTTGCAGATCTTCTCCAAGTCATTAAGGTTTCGAGGCTGACGTTTGGCAACTCGAACCTTCAGCTCCCTCCACAGATTTTCTATGGGATTAAGGTCTGGAGACTGGCTAGGCCACTCCAGGACCTTAATGTGCCTCTTCTTGAGCCACTCCTTTGTTGCCTTGGCCGTGTGTTTTGGGTCATTGTCATGCTGGAATACCCATCCACGACCCATTTTCAATGCCCTGGCTGAGGGAAGGAGGTTCTCACCCAAGATTTGATGGTACATGGCCCCGTCCATCGTCCCTTTGATGCGGTGAAGTTGTCCTGTCCCCTTAGCAGAAAAACACCCCCAAAGCATAATGTTTCCACCTCCATGTTTGAGGGTGGGGATGGTGTTCTTGGGGTCATAGGCAGCATTCCTCCTCCTCTAAACACGGCGAGTTGAGTTGATGCCAAAGAGCTCCATTTTTGTCTCATCTGACCACAACACTTTCACCCAGTTCTCCTCTGAATCATTCAGATGTTCATTGGCAAACTTCAGACGTGCATGTATATGTGCTTTCTTGAGCAGGGGGACCTTGCGGGCGCTGCAGGATTTCAGTCCTTCACGGCGTAATGTGTTACCAATTGTTTTCTTGGTGACTATGGTCCCAGCTGCCTTGAGATCATTGACAAGATCCTCCCGTGTAGTTCTGGGCTGATTCCTCACCATTCTCATGATCATTGCAACTCCACGAGGTGAGATCTTGCATGGAACCCCAGGCCGAGGGAGATTGACAGTTCTTTTGTGTTTCTTCCATTTGCGAATAATCGCACCAACTGTTGTCACCTTCTCACCAAGCTGCTTGGCGATGGTCTTGTAGCCCATTCCAGCCTTGTGTAGGTCTACAATCTTGTCCCTGACATCCTTGGAGAGCTCTTTGGTCTTGGCCATGGTGGAGAGTTTGGAATCTGATTGATTGATTGCTTCTGTGGACATGTATCTTTTATACAGGTAACAAACTGAGATTAGGAGCACTCCCTTTAAGAGTGTGCTCCTAATCTCAGCTCATTACCTGTATAAAAGACACCTGGGAGCCAGAAATCTTTCTGATTGAGAGGGGGTCAAATACTTGTTTCCCTCATTAAAATGCAAATCAATTTCTAACATTTTTGACATGCGTTTTTCTGGATTTTTTTGTTGTTATTCTGTCTCTCACTGTTCAAATAAACCTACCATTAAAATTATAGACTGATCATTTCTTTGTCAGTGGGCAAACGTACAAAATCAGCAGGGGATCAAATACTTTTTTCCCCTCACTGTGTATATATACACTGCTCAAAAAAATAAAGGGAACACTTAAACAACACAATGTAACTCCAAGTCAATCACACTTCTGTGAAATAAAACTGTCCACTTAGGAAGCAACACTGATTGACAATACATTTCACATGCTGTTGTGCAAATGGAATAGAAAACAGGTGGAAATTATAGGCAATTAGCAAGACACCCCCCATAAAGGACTGGTTTTGCAGGTGGTGACCACAGACCACTTCTCAGTTCCTATGCTTCCTGGCTGATGTTTTGGTCACTTTTGAATGCTGGCGGTGCTTTCACTCTAGTGGTAGCATGAGACGGAGTCTACAACCCACACAAGTGGCTCAGGTAGTGCAGCTCATCCAGGATGGCACATCAATGCGAGCTGTGGCAAGAAGTTTGCTGTGTCTGTCAGCGTAGTGTCCAGAGCATGGTGGCACTACCAGGAGACAGGCCAGTACATCAGGAGACGTGGAGGAGGCCGTAGGAGGCAACAACCCAGCAGCAGGACTGCTACCTCTGCCTTTGTGCAAGGAGGAGCAGGAGGAGCACTGCCAGAGTCCTGCAAAATGACCTCCAGCAGGCCACAAATGTGCATGTGTCTGCTCAAACGGTCAGAAACAGACTCCATGAGGGTGGTATGAGGGCCCGACGTCCACAGGTGGGGGTTGTGCTTACAGCCCAACAACGTGCAGGACATTTGGCATTTGCCAGAGAACACCAAGATTGGCAAATTCGCCACTGGCGCCCTGTGCTCTTCACAGATGAAAGCAGGTTCACACTGAGCACATGTAACAGACGTGACAGAGTCTGGAGACGCCGTGGAGAACGTTCTGCTGCCTGCAACATCCTCCAGCATGACCAGTTTGGCGGTGGGTCAGTCATGGTGTGGGGTGGCATTTCTTTGGGGGGCCGCACAGCCTCCATGTGCTCGCCAGAGGTAGCCTGGCTGCCATTAGGTACCGAGATGAGATCCTCAGACCCCTTGTGAGACCATATGCTGGTGCGGTTGGCCCTGGGTTCCTCCTAATGCAAGACAATGCTAGACCTCATGTGGCTGGAGTGTGTCAGCAGTTCCTGCAAGAGGAAGGCATTGATGCTATAGACTGGCCCGCCCGTTCCCCAGACCTGAATCCAATTGAGCACATCTGGGACATCATGTCTCGCTCCATCCACCAACGCCACGTTGCACCACAGACTGTCCAGGAGTTGACAGATGCTTTAGTCCAGGACTGGGAGGAGATCCCTCAGGAGACCATCCGCCACCTCATCAGGAGCATGCCCAGGCATTGTAGGGAGGTCATACAGGCACGTGGAGGCCACACACACTACTGAACCTCATTTTGACTTGTTTTAAGGACATTACATCAAAGTTGGATCAGCCTGTAGTGTGGTTTTCCACTTTAATTTTGAGGGTGACTCCAAATCCAGACCTCCATGGGTTGATAAATTTGATTTCCATTGATAATTTTTGTGTGATTTTGTTGTCAGCACATTCAACTATGTAAAGAAAAAAAGTATTTAATAAGATTATTTCATTCATTCAGATCTAGGATGTGTTATTTTAGTGTTCCCTTAATTTTTTTGAGCAGTGTATATATATATATATATATATATATAAAAATAAAATATACACATATACATACATATTCTTTTTTTTTGGTATTCTTTCTTGCATTTTACATTTTAGTCATTTTAGCAGACGCTCTTATCCAGAGCGACTTACAGTTTTAGTGAGTGCATACATTTTTCATAAAACTACATTGTTGGTTAAGGGCTTGTAAGTAAGCATTTCACTGTAAGGTCTACTGTTTCATTCGGCGCACGTGACAAATACCATTTTATTTTATTTTTGTTGACTGCTGTTGTTAGGTCAGAACACTCAGATCAACCGTACTCCTCGCCCAGAGTGTCCAGTGTGCGGTCTGAACTGACAATTTGACAACGCTCTGTGTTTACGAACGCCCAGAGCACACTCTGGCACTCCAGATTAAATTGACGAACACACCCGTAGTATAAACCAGCCTTTAGTCTTAATCTTTGGTTGTTTAGTACATAGCCTCACATGTGAATCCTTAAAGAGATAGGTGGAGCTAAAGCTTAAGAGGGTGTGAACGATGCTGAATGGGTGTAGACAAAGAAGATCTCTCCAGTAGGTTAACCAAAACATTTAAGGGCCATTTTCTCAAAAGTGAGGTTACAAGTTCATCAACTTTCAAAGCAGAATTACTTTCCCATTGTTCCTCAACTGTAGTGTATGATATACAATTTTCTAGCTCTGAGTCTCTACTTTTATCCAATGTAAAAAAACACAATTTCAAATTTTGCTTCACAAGGCCGAATCGAGCCGATTGGTCACATATTGACTTTACTAGCTAGCTAGCCAATTTGACGTGGTCCATCAATCAATGTCGCCTATCATGTCTGTCAGTAGCAATCGTGATTTAAACACTCTTAAAAACAATGTTGAAAAGGGGATAATGTTAGCGAACTTCGCAAGGTAGGCCTACGTTGGTTGTAGAAAAAAAGTACATCAGGTCTACTTACCACTATTTTACATTTACATTTTAGTCATTTAGCAGACTTACAGTTAGTGAGTGCATACATTTTCATACTGTCATGGGAATAGTGTACAGTACTTCTGTTTTGAGTTAGTGGCTGTGCTGCATTTACATCACTGCTGGCACAGAGATCCTCATCCCTAGCTGCTCCGCGTGTCGACGTCTCAGGCAGGACATGCTGGATGTACTCTGCACTTCCTGTTGATAACGTCTGTATGCCTGATTACCTGTCTATCTCTCTTCTCTCCCCTCCCACCCAGAGTGGAGCGGATTCACTGAGCTACATGGTTAATGGGACATCATCTCACATCAGAGAACATTTGAGACAATAAAAAAGGAGCACAAGCAAACTAGTGCAATACTGGCCAATGGGGAATAAAATATGTTAAGAAACAGGAAAACAGTCGCTACTTGTTATTTTGTGTTTTTCGTCTTGGACAGGCCCAAAGAAACAGGGCTAAGTTCATACGTGTGCATGCCAAGAATCCAAACAGCCAATTTCATGGAAATGTGTCACAAAACACGAGAGACTTGCATATGTTGCGTGTTTCCTTACATGTAACTATACCTTATATTTTGAGGGCTTTAGCTTTTATTTAAGTTTAGCCCTTTTTACACTTTTCAAATACCTTCAAAATAGAAATTCCCTGCATTAAGAACCAGTTAAGCTATACTTAACTAAGACTCTTTCAGAAATAGCCAAACAACTTCAGTTTAAGGGGAAAATTAGAGGATAAGACATCTCATGTAGCGTTAGCCGCTGACATAGCATTACCATCACTGTCTGATAGGATGACATAATGACAGACATGGCTACAGCAATGTCAGCATCACAGAGGGGCTTAGCCACCCCAGTATAAACCCTCTGATGTGGTTGCTAATGGTAGCTAGCTGCGGCTAAACTTTGAGCTGAAAGGAGGGAAGAAAAAGAGGGGGTAAACCACAAGTAGAATTAGTAATACAGTACCAGCCAGTATAGCCCACACAAGAGCACAGTGCTTTACAGTAGTCTATCAGTCCTTTCTCTCCATTATAATCCCTCTGGTCCGTGAGTTAACAGATTGCAGTGGTACTGTGTTTGTGTTCTACGGTAAATAAATAGTTTGGATTCATCATTATGACTTAGGAAACATACAAGCTGTTCCTGGCTGCCTTTGGCTTATCCCCAACTCTGACCAGTCAGCCTTTCCAGATGGCCAACAACCTCTCCGTTAAACCCTAGCAGTACAAAAGCAAGGTTGATATGAGCCAGGCACCAGTTCTCTCATCCACAGTTATTCCTGTCCATGTGACCATGTAGCTCAGAGTTTATCTTGGTCAAGTGGTCAGGAAAAACTCCTGGCCCAACTCATCGCTACTGATCACCACAGTCCAGACAGTTCAGTTCAGGCCAGCCCCTGCTCTCAAAGAAAATACCATGGCTTGTACTTTACCTCAAAGTTAGCCTGGGTAAGTGGCCAACACTACAACAGACCTCTCCAAGTCAACATAATAACATATAAACATGGGCCAAATGTTACCAGGCTTAATCAAAACAGCCAGAACTTTAGGTCAGCTCCAAACAGACACGTAGCCAGACCTCTCTTCACACACAAGCACACACACACACACACACACACACACACACGCCAGATAAACTCTGAACACGTAGCCAAATCTAGCTAGCCTAGACACCTTTACAAACACAGAAATGTGTGTCCCACCCAAAAAAAAAACACACTCTAATTCTCCAATTTGTGAGTTGGATTGATAAATCTGTCACCGCACAGAGAGAGAGACGGGGGAATGTGAGACAGGAAAAAGAGACTGAAAGAGAGGTGGATCAAAGAGAGAAGAGGCGAGAGAATCATATAGAAAGGTGGTAGGTAGAAGGGTGGTACTAGTGGATGAAAGAAAGTGTGGATAAGGGTTGAAAAAGAAAGGATAGAAAGAGGGTGAGAAGAAATAGAAGGCAGACCGATGCAGCTGGCCAGACACAAGGCCCCAGTGTGTGTGTATGTATGTGTGTGTGTCTGTCTGTTTGTCAGTATTTGGTATTTAGAGTGAGTTCACACACAGCTCCTCAAGACATAGACGTCACCCTTATCCTGCCTGGGCTGGACTGGCACACACACAGTGGCAGCACATCAGAGAGAGATGGAGGAAAGAAAAGGGGAGTGTGAAAGAAAGACAAAAACAAGGAGAGGGAAAGAGAAAGAGGGTGGAGAGCGAAGGATCAGATGAAGTGTGACGTAGAGAATGATGGAGTGATGAAAAAGAAAGAGGGACTGCTTTATTAATGGTCTTACCCTGGGAGCTGGGGGTCCGTGGTCATCGAGATACGTGGATTCTCCTGTGAAGAAACAGAGGTATAGATATGTAGAATGTGATAATATTCAGAGGGACTACAGTCCAACAGTGTTCAATTGTATTATGGCAAATCCACTGGCAGCACAGATTCCACAGGCTAGTGATCTCAAGTCAAGGGTGACCAAAGTGTTTAATAAATGTCAGACAGACAACAGGTGTAATAAAAACCTATATCCAGCCACAACAATCGTCAATAGCCACCTAGAGAAAAAACCCGTCCGGTCACGATCCCTCTAAGAAAAACAGAGCGGCCTTCACATCCACATAAAGTGTGGGAATGTCATCATGAGTGAGCAAAGGCCCATTTATATAGTATCTGTCAGTGTTAAGCCGTTTCATCTCAGGACAAAGGGTGCCTTTCAAGGGTGCCTCACACTGAGGATCTATGCTCTCCTTTCAGCCCGCTCTCCAACTCCAGGCCCAGGCTTCAGACAGCGGCCTCCTCTTCTCCGCTCTGCATGCGGAGCACGTCCAGAGACACTATACTTCCCATCACATCTAGAACATTCAGAGGCAAGGAGTGAGATATATCTACACTACCGGTCAAAGCTTTTAGAACACATGTTCATTCAAGGGTTTTTCTATATTTTAACAATTTTCTACATTGTAGAATAATAGTGAAGACATCAAAACTATGAAATAACACATATGGAATCATGTAATAACCAAAAAAAGTGTTAAACAAATCAAATTATATTTCAAATTTGAGATTCTTCAAAGTAGCCACCCTTTGCCTTGATGACAGCTTTGCACACATTCTCTCAACACGCTTCACCTGGAATGCTTTTCCAACAGGCAGGTAGCTTAGGGGTTAAGAGCGTTGTGCCAGTAACCGAAAGGTCGCTGGTTCTAATCCCCGAGCCGACTAGGTGAAAAATCTGTCGATGTGCCCTTGAGCAAGGCACTTAACCCTAATTGCTCCTGTAAGTCGCTCTGGATAAGAGCGTCTGCTAAATGACTAAAAAAAATGTTTTTTTATATGCTGAGCACTTGTTGGCTGCTTTTCCTACACTCTGCGGTCCAACTCATCCCAAACCATCTCAATTGGGTTGAGGTCGGGGGATTGTGGAGGTCAGGTCATCTGATGCAGCACTCCATCACTCTCCTTCTTGGTCAAATAACCCTTACACAGCCTGGAGGTGTGTTGGGTCATTGTCCTGTTGAAAAACAAATGATAGTCCCACTAAGCGCAAACCAGATGGGATGGCATATCGCTGCAGAATGCTGTGGTAGCCATGCTGGTTAAGTGTGCCTTGAATTCTAAATAAATCACAGACAGTGTCACCAGCAAAGCACCCCCACACCATCACACCTCCTCCTCCATGCTTCACAGTGGGTACCACACATGCGGAGATCATCCGTTCACCTACTCTGCGTCTCACAAAGACCCAACGCTTGGAACCAAAAGTCTCAAATTTGTCGAAAATAGTAAAGAATATAGAAAAACCCTTGAATGAGTAGGTGTGTCCATACTTTTGACTGGTACTAGATAGATAGATAGATAGATAGATAGATAGATAGATAGATAGATAGATAGATAGATAGATAGATAGATAGATAGATAGATAGATAGATAGATAGATAGATAGATAGATAGATAGATAGATAGATAGATAGATAGATAGATAGATAGATAGATAGATAGATAGATAGATAGATAGATAGATAGATAGATAGATAGATAGATAGATAGATAGATAGATAGATAGATAGATAGATAGATAGATAGATAGATAGATAGATAGATAGATAGATAGATAGATAGATAGATAGATAGATAGATAGATAGATAGATAGATAGAGTGATGGGGGGGGGGTGTTGTTCTTAAATATAAAGAGAATGGATGACACCTAGGAGAGTGAGTGCAACAGTTGAGACCGCTTCTAATGTATTCAGGAACAGACTCATTATTCATTGGTCTGAGCTGTGTTGACCAAAGCCTTCTCTCTTGGCTTGGGCTCATTGGTACATTAGTTCTATGCTTGTATAGGAAGTACAGTGGGGAGAACAAGTATTTGATACACTGCCAATTTTGCAGGTTTTCCTACTTACAAAGCATGTAGAGGTCTGTAATTTTTTATCATAGGTACACTTCAACTGTGAGAGACAGAATCTAAAACAAAAATCCAGAAAATCACATTGTATGATTTTTAAGTAATTAATTTGCATTTTCTTGCATGACATAAGTATTTGATCACCTACCAACCAGTAAGAATTCCGGCTGTCACAGACCTGTTAGTTTTTCTTTAAGAAGCCCTCCTGTTCTCCACTCATTACCTGTATTAACTGCACCTGTTTGAACTCGTTACCTGTATAAAAGACACCTGTCCACACACTCAATCAAACAGACTCCAACCTCTCCACAATGGCCAAGACCAGAGAGCTGTGTAAGGACATCAGGGATAAAATTGTAGACCTGCACAAGGCTGGGATGGGCTACAGGACAATAGGCAAGCAGCTTGGTGAGAAGGCAACAACTGTTGGCGCAATTATTAGAAAATGGAAGAAGTTCAAGATGACGGTCAATCACCCTCGGTCTGGGGCTCCATGCAAGATCTCACCTCGTGGGGCATCAATGATCATGAGGAAGGTGAGGAATCAGCCCAGAACTACACGGCAGGACCTGGTCAATGACCTGAAGAGAGCTGGGACCACAGTCTCAAAGAAAACTATTAGTAACACACTACGCCGTCATGGATTAAAATCCTGCAGCGCACGCAAGGTCCCCCTGCTCAAGCCAGCGCATGTCCAGGCCCGTCTGAAATTTGCCAATGACCATCTGGATGATCCAGAGGAGGAATGGGAGAAGGTCATGTGGTCTGATGAGACAAAAATATAGCTTTTTGGTCTAAACTCCACTCGCCGTGCTTGGAGGAAGAAGAAGGATGAGTACAACCCCAAGAACACCATCCCAACCGTGAAGCATGGAGGTGGAAACATCATTCTTTGGGGATGCTTTTCTGCAAAGGGGACAGGACGACTGCACCGTATTGAGGGGAAGATGGATGGGGCCATGTATCGCGAGATCTTGGCCAACAACCTCCTTCCCTCAGTAAGCGCATTGAAAATGGGTCGTGGCTGGGTCTTCCAGCATGACAACGACCCGAAACACACAGCCAGGGCAACTAAGGAGTGGCTCCGTAAGAAGCATCTCAAGGTCCTGGAGTGGCCTAGCCAGTCTCCAGACCTGAACCCAATAGAACATCTTTGGAGGGAGCTGAAAGTCCGTATTGCCCAGCGACAGCCCCGAAACCTGAAGGATCTGGAGAAGGTCTGTATGGAGGAGTGGGCCAAAATCCCTGCTGCAGTGTGTGCAAACCTGGTCAAGACCTACAGGAAACGTATGATCTCTGTAATTGCAAACAAAGGTTTCTGTACCAAATATTAAGTTCTGCTTTTCTGATGTATCAAATACTTATGTCATGCAATAAAATGCAAATTAATTACTTAAAAATCATACAATGTGATTTTCTGGATTTTTCTTTTAGATTCCGTCTCTCACAGTTGAAGTGTACCTATGATATAAATTACAGACCTCTACATGCTTTGTAAGTAGGAAAACCTGAAAAATCAGCAGTGTATCAAATACTTGTTCTCCCCACTGTACATTGCATGACTTGTAAGCACTGTTTACACTTTCTGATAGTGGTGTTTGGACTCTGGGCAATTAGTTATCTGAAGAGTGGCCTGGTGTCAGAATCACACACACACACACCACGCACACGCACACACACACACACATCCCAGCAAGATCCTTGCAGCCCTCTAAGTTATATAGTGTCAGCGTGACTTCCTACAGCACTTCTGTAGTACATTAGTTTAGCAGCTGCTACAGTATATTAATATGGAGACAGCTGCACTGCACACACACCCTCAGGTGTGTCTGCTGCACACACACACACACACACACACACACACACACACACACATTCTTGCTGAGGAATGCTGAGGGAGGCTTGGGTTGGCAGGTCGTGCAGAGGCATCTGAGGTCGTCCCAGGGTGGGGAAACGAGAGACAGATCCTCCCTGTCGTTCATCTTCAGGGCCAACCCCCTTTGTGTGTTTCTCATTTGCTCTTTGCATCGGGGATTGGAACTCATTTCTTCCAGGGCACATGCTCGTAAAAACAGACAGCTGCCATCCACCCACACCACCCACAACGACAGGAGCGGTGGAATCTACTGAGCCTTCATGGAGTTCTGTGTTCTTCTTTAGTCCCCTGTTCATTGTCACTTAAATCAGAGCCATTTTGGCTGCATTCACAACTGAACACAGCCCACACAGACTTAAACTATGGTTGGATTATTTGGTTTCATGCTATGGCTATAAATTCTATGATTGTTTGGAGTACAAACTTCTATGGTATACATCCTCTCACACTTGAGCCTTGATCATCTTTGATGAACAGCCCTCTTTCTCATATGACACTCAATAATTGGGGCCAACTTACAGAGGCCATACATATGGTACATGGACAACAGTGATTAAAAAAGGGTGAGAGATGCGATGGGGGTGGAAGGGAGATATTGGGTAGGAAGGGGGAGATGGGGAAGAAGGGAGAGATGGGGAAGGAAGGGAGAAATGAGGGAGGAAGGTAGAGATGGGAGAGATGGAGGAGAATGGGAGATGGAGGAAGAAGGGAGAGATAGGGGAGAAGAGCTAGGGTTCACACAGCATGAGAGGTTGATGTTCCTTGACCCTCAGATAACACCTTCAACTCTGACTCACAGCCAGCGGTTACAGAGGTAAGTGTACGTGTCATTCTCCTTCTGTATTTGTGTGTTTGTGTGTGTGTGTGTGTGTGTGTGTGTGTGTGTGTGTGTGTGTGTGTGTGTGTGTGTGTTTGTGTGGCGAAGGGGTTAATAGGATTAGTTTGTCACGGGACACATGGTAGTGCTACTGGCTGAGATACAGATGAAGGGTGCCCAATGTTAGGAGGTGCCATCAAACCAAACTGTTATTTTTCTCATTAGCTACCCAT